CCAGCACAAAGGGATCTTGACGCTGTAATCAGGCAAGTGATTAGCTGTTTTTTTTTAGTTTTTTTTTTAACCTTTCAATGCCACAGGGAAAGGGACACAGAGGGACACTACAATATTAGGAATACAGCTTTGTATTACTAACACTAAACTGTTCTTTTCACAAATAGTCTGACTATTTACATTGGGGTTGTGAGGGCACTCCTGTCACCATAACCACTACAGGTCTCTACTTTGCATGTTCCTTTAATCTTCTAACTTGTTTTAACACTCTGATGGCTAGATATGTTAATTGTTGTGTTTTGTGTTATTTTTACATATTACACTATCGTGTATGGAACCTGACAACACAGTTTGTGTGACTAGTAATAAAAAGATTTGGATGCCACAAAAAACAAAAATTGTTTCAAATTGTTAGCAAATTGTGCTTTCCGATAATTGCCATTTTAGAAATTTTTAAGGTCAGTTAATTTATATAACAGAGAAGGGTGGACTATAAGTCCTAGTTAGGAGAGGAACACAAAATATAGACAATGTGTGATAATGACTCTTTAAGAGATGCACTAGTCCTCTGTAATGTCTATACATTACAATTTGTTTCTATCTACGGGTATTGGGGAGGAGTGCTGATCGCTCGACACACCCACATGGATTTTTGTGTGGATGTATGTTTAAGAAATCAGATTAGCCTATCGGCAATTAGGGAGATAGGTGAATATAACACCACCTACCGTTCAGTACAATTAGGCATATGATTTCGCATCAAGAGGGCAACAACCAATAGGAATAGGAGGGAGGAACGTTGCATTGATCTTGATCGATACACAATGAACTTGGTACCGCCCTCTAGTAGGCGAAGCCCAATGAGGATTAAGGAGGGTGCATACGTCACACACAAGGAACTTGGTACCGCCCCTCAGCAGGCGAAGCCCAATGAGGATTAAGGCGGGTGTATACATCACATACCCGGAGCATTAGATGGTAAGAATTGATCAACTCAGCGCACACCCACTTTACACAGCAGCCAACACTCAATAGCTAATTGCGAATTAAGAATACATATAAACTGGCCAGCTCATAGACATTGCTCCTGACAACGCCGTGCTGAAACGCGCGTCAAGCTATTTGTTTTGGTTTTCACTTACTATACTTGGTAGTACTAATATGCGCTAGCTTAGTTAAGTTTTATTTATTTTTCTTTTCGTTAAGGAAAGGAGAGTGGTTCAGGTAGGCATTAGTGGCTGCTCTATGGTGCCGAGGTGACAGATCTTATCTGAGTTTCTGGTTTGGGTTGTTGTGGATGGTTTGGGGTTTGGCTCCTTCATCTTCACCCCATTATCCTTTACCTCTGTATACTGGCTGGGACAGTGCTCAGTTTAGGTTCAGACCTTGTTAGTAGCTTCGCTTATCTTAGCTAACCCAGCAGTATTCTTATAGAGGAATACAAAAGTAGAAGATAAGTGGAGCGCAGATGGCAGGAAAACACGCCTGTAAACCTTTTGTGAATTGAAAGTGATTCAATAAAAATATATACTTATGCTATGTAGAAAGATCTCGATGACATGCAGAAAGAGAAAAAAATACAGAAATAATCGTACAATATGTCAGAGATAAAATAGGAATAAACAAATTTAATGACAGTGCAATGAAATAGTTAAAAAATGGTTAGATACTGCCTAATATGGCAGTAGGTGAGATTTAGGCAGGCAGAGAGCCTCTGCTACTCACAAACACTATAAGTCTGGGATCTGAGCGAAGTCAGCAGGATCTGCAGAGGTGATCTGTAGGTCGGGTGTCCTACCGGGTCACACAATATTGTAAGTCCGGAGGTAGCCCTTCCAGTGTCCGTGCTTCGCGATGGCTGTCCCGATGAACCGTCAAAGTTCAGTATGTTCGCGGGGTTTGCAGGTGCCGCCCACCTTGATTACATTGTGTTCCTACGTAGATGCGTTTCGCCTTCCGGCTTCTTCAGAACGTAAGGAGTATAGTCTCTACTGGCGGTAGGGAAACATTTTAAGGGCAATGATGGTTCCGCCCTCAAACGTTCCTACTAATTGCAACTGCAAAGTCCAGCCTTTATTTAAAGGTGAAGTTAGCGAAAAATAAGTGTGTCTATTTCATTTCAATATATAATTATACATTGGCAATTAAGAACATCTAAAACTAGACAAAGTTGAACTTAAAATTAAGAATCAAATCATATGATACACACTACAAACAGCATTGGTAATATACAAGTGCAATTAAATGGTAAGCTCTGTATTGAGAATGTACTTTAAACATGTACAGAGGTGTGAGAACTGGACATAATGGCATTTTCCAAATGCATGATTAATATTCTAAAAAAGAAGGTAGATATTAAAAACTATAGCATGAGAAACACTAATCAGTCTAATCTACACCAAACAAGAGAGAATGGCTAAGGTGCAATTGTGCATACATTTCTATGTTTAAATATGCAGTAGGCTTCAATGGGAGCAGCAAAGATGTTACAAGTACATAATCATAGGTTATGTTATCCTCAAGATATAAAATATAGTTTATTTAAATATAATATATAAACTAAAGAAAAGAGATGCACTCCAAGGACTATATAAGTGAAAAAAGGGGTAATTTATTCCAATAGGTATTTCATCAAAATTTAGCCGACGTTTCGACCCATTCGGGTCTTTCTCAATTGGATTATTTTACACGAAAGGGTGAGTGCCAAGAAACATTTTTTTGGAGATAATACAGGGAGTGCAGAATTATTAGGCAAGTTGTATTTTTGAGGATTAATTTTATTATTGAACAACAACCATGTTCTCAATGAACCCAAAAAACTCATTAATATCAAAGCTGAATATTTTTGGAAGTAGTTTTTAGTTTGTTTTTAGTTATAGCTATGTTAGGGGGATATCTGTGTGTGCAGGTGACTATTACTGTGCATAATTATTAGGCAACTTAACAAAAAACAAATATATACCCATTTCAATTATTTATTATTACCAGTGAAACCAATATAACATCTCAACATTCACAAATATACATTTCTGACATTCAAAAACAAAACAAAAACAAATCAGTGACCAATATAGCCACCTTTCTTTGCAAGGACACTCAAAAGCCTGCCATCCATGGATTCTGTCAGTGTTTTGATCTGTTCACCATCAACATTGCGTGCAGCAGCAACCACAGCCTCCCAGACACTGTTCAGAGAGGTGTACTGTTTTCCCTCCTTGTAAATCTCACATTTGATGATGGACCACAGGTTCTCAATGGGGTTCAGATCAGGTGAACAAGGAGGCCATGTCATTAGATTTCCTTCTTTTATACCCTTTCTTGCCAGCCACGCTGTGGAGTACTTGGACGCGTGTGATGGAGCATTGTCCTGCATGAAAATCATGTTTTTCTTGAAGGATGCAGACTTCTTCCTGTACCACTGCTTGAAGAAGGTGTCTTCCAGGAACTGGCAGTAGGACTGGGAGTTGAGCTTGACTCCATCCTCAACCCGAAAAGGCCCCACAAGCTCATCTTTGATGATACCAGCCCAAACCAGTACTCCACCTCCACCTTGCTGGCGTCTGAGTCGGACTGGAGCTCTCTGCCCTTTACCAATCCAGCCACGGGCCCATCCATCTGGCCCATCAAGACTCACTCTCATTTCATCAGTCCATAAAACCTTAGAAAAATCAGTCTTGAGATATTTCTTGGCCCAGTCTTGGCGTTTCAGCTTGTGTGTCTTGTTCAGTGGTGGTCGTCTTTCAGCCTTTCTTACCTTGGCCATGTCTCTGAGTATTGCACACCTTGTGCTTTTGGGCACTCCAGTGATGTTGCAGCTCTGAAATATGGCCAAACTGGTGGCAAGTGGCATCGTGGCAGCTGCACGCTTGACTTTTCTCAGTTCATGGGCAGTTATTTTGCGCCTTGGTTTTTCCACACGCTTCTTGCGACCCTGTTGACTATTTTGAATGAAACGCTTGATTGTTCGATGATCACGCTTCAGAAGCTTTGCAATTTTAAGAGTGCTGCATCCCTCTGCAAGATATCTCACTATTTTTTACTTTTCTGAGCCTGTCAAGTCCTTCTTTTGACCCATTTTGCCAAAGGAAAGGAAGTTGCCTAATAATTATGCACACCTGATATAGGGTGTTGATGTCATTAGACCACACCCCTTCTCATTACAGAGATGCACATCACCTAATATGCTTAATTGGTAGTAGGCTTTCGAGCCTATACAGCTTGGAGTAAGACAACATGCATAAAGAGGATGATGTGGTCAAAATACTCATTTGCCTAATAATTCTGCACTCCCTGTATATTATATAGATATATAAATGAGATTATAAAAAATGGCACAATTCAAAATCTTTATTCATGCCATTTGGGATCAAGGTATTGAATTCATATATTATCTTCATCTCCGCCCTTCCCATTTTCTGGTTAAAATCACCCCCTCTCCAGTGTATCTTCTGAATGCCTTTAAAGCGTAGTAGAGAGGTGTAACGGACAGTTTTGCCCACAAGCGGTTAAAAACCGTTTAAGCGGTATTCCCCTTTCTCAGCTACACTGACAGCTACTGTAAGCACCGAACTGGAAACACATGAACACTGGAAATATCCTTACAGGAAAAACATACGAAAGGGTTACACTCCTGGCAGTCAGCATAAAATCCAATAACGAGACGACACTTCGTTTTGAGGGTTAAGCAGAATCTGAAGATTTATTCACACAACCTCCTTTTAAGACATTCTCCCATGCAAGGGAGGGATCCACAACAATTAGTACCCCAGCCAATAATGTACCAGTTACCTCCCACACATCTCCTCCCCTTAGTGTGACACATAATCCCATTAGTCCAGACACAAATTCCCTGGGATACTGGATGTACCCCTAAACATAAGGATACCCCTTTAAATGTTACACCCCCTTATAGCCCTGATCTGGGTGAGACACATATCCAAAAATCACCCAGATCGGAGCAGGGGTTCGGGAATTATGGAGGGCTAAAGTTTTGACCGACTGCATGGCAAAAGTATCCGAAAATAGTTCCATGTATTTTGGCCCTGCAGTCGGTCACAGAAAAGGGAATGAAACACACGAATTCCCTGGGTTACAGAGCCTGGGGAGGGTTTAAACGAATTCCCTTGTTCATGGGGTTCTTTCTACCGAACGGCGGGTCATTCGGTAGTTTCCACATGAATTCATGGAAGTCTGGAGGTCTCAGCAGTGTTTGCCTAGTCGAGTGTCCGATTTTAGTTCCAGACACTCAACGGCAAAACACCGCTGTTCGGGAGTTTAAGATGGCCGCCGCCACGTGTTCGTTTCCTGAATGGCGGCCACCCAGAGGACAAAGAACACATTACATAGATTGCCAATTACCCGTTTGCAACATTGTTGCAAACGGTAATTGGAGGCACACTTACTCCAGGGTGGTCTGGTTGTTCGGTAGTTTCACTCAATATAATGAATGGAGTGATTCTACCGAACAATCAGGGGAATGCTGCATACACATAACACCGTTTACCGAACACATAATATTAAAGACAGCCTGAATGCAACCTGCTACACAGTCTTAAAGGGCATTGTTCCTAACAGTCATAATATGTCCACGGATGGCCCTTAAAGGGCCAGTAGAAGCAATATAAAATACCACATGCCCAAATATTGCATTCAAAAGTACAAATTCACAAGGGGCCATAGTCAGCAGGTAGGAGGCGGGCAGCCAGGCCTCTCCAATGCCCAGTGGCGAGGCAGCTTTCGCCACAAGAGGGATCATTATTGTGATGGTCTCTGAAGTGAAGTGAAACCTGATGCTTTTCAAACTTCCTACTGATATTATACACATACTCACCTATCCTTGTCCTTAGTAGCCTAGTGGTTCTTCCTATGTAATTTAAGCCACAAGGACAGGTGAGCATGTAAAGCACATTCTTAGTGTTGCATGTAATGCAATCTCTGATTGTAAAGATCTTTTCGTTCACACTAAGTTCTTCAATATGTTGCTTTCCTTAATGGGTTAATTGGTAGGCCCTGCATTTGCCGCATTAAAAAACCAAAACAAATATTAGTTAAATTATTATTAGCCTTTTCTTCTCTAATAATCCCATCTGTTAAAATCCTTTTCAAATTAAGTAGACTCCTATGTACAATCTTCGGTTTGTCTGGTGGAATCTCCCTAAGTACTGGATCATTCAACGTACACACATACGTGGGCATCAAACTAACCAGTAACCACCAAATTGGAGGACTTCTATGAAATAAACTACAAACCACTACTTATGACAGCACAACAAGACCTACAAAGGTGGGACAAACTGGGCATGTCATGGCTGGGTAGATTCACCACCATCAAAATGAACCTGTTACTGAGCTTCCTCTACCTATTCCAAACACTGCCAATCCCAATTCAAAAAACGGACTTCAAACACCTACAAGCAGCCGTAGAAAGATTAATCCGGAAACCCAGAATCCGCAGATCAATGATGTATGTTCCCTCATGGGAAGACTGGGGCTCCCCAACTTTCACCATTACTACCACGCAGCCCAACTGGCCCACATCCAGCAATGGCACGCACCACCAGGCACCAAAAGGTGGGTGGATCTGGAACATGTCATGGGCTGGGAACTCCCAACCTCTTACATGTGGGTACCACCACCTACCACCCCAGCAATCACACACGCAATAGCCCTTTGGGACAAACACAACCCCAGGTACGATCTGTCCTTTCTCTCCCCGGTGACACCGATATACCGCAACAAAACTTTCTCACCGGGCATGACATCAAAACATTTCACCGCATTTGACCAGAGAGACATCTCCAGACTTCTACACCTATACCGACAAGGGGAAATGTTCAAATACTCCGAACTACCAAACGCAGACGCCTTGACCACGGCTGACTACTTCCGCTACATCCAACTGCGAGACTTAGCACAACAGCCAGTAGTCAAACATGCAGGTATATCACCACTAACACCAATGCTTCGAGGCACCGCTTCGTCGGGGACAAATCTCAGACATCTACACCACACTCACAACGCACGCCTCCCAAATCAATCTAACTTACATCACAGCATGGGAAAGAGACATCAGACCACCGGAGGATCCGAGCGACTGGGCCGAGATATGGGCAGCCACGCACTCCCTCACAACATGCGTAACGCATAAAGAACAGGCCTACAAAACCATCTTCCGCTGGTACCGGACGTCACACAGACTGCACCAAATGGGCCAGAAAACCAACACCGAATGCTGGAAACTATGTGGAGAAAAGGGCACATACCTCCACTGTTGGTGGACATGCCCCAAACTCAAACAGCTCTGGACAGAGCTACAGAGCCTCATCGAACAGGTGGTAGGAAAACCCATCTGAGCACAGCTATGGACAATGCTACTCAACAAACCACTGGACACCCTCACGAGACAGGAAAACAAACTGGTGGCCCGCATAACCCTAGCTACACGCAGAGCAATCGCAGAACTATAGGCAGATCAATGGATCCCCGAGCTAACAACCACAAAATAAGAGAAACACGCGTCTTAGATGAACTAACAGCGCAAATACACGACTCGTACAAAGCGTTTCACCGGACATGGGACCTCTGGGATACAAACTATCAGAACTTGGACATAACACTCCCATAGTAATACCCACCAATACAACCAGACCCACCTGAGACACCCTCCTGACAACTCAACCCCCCCTCGGTCTCCAGACGAGGGGAACTTTAACCCAGATGGCCACCCACACCCTGACATCACAGGCGTACAAAAGTCAGATGAACCCGCACAAAAGCACCATGAAAAGGCCAGACTTACCCGACCACAAATAACACAGCCCACACAAGCCCCACGACACACAATCCCTCCCGCCCTCCCACCCTCACCTGCATCCTTCCTTCCCGACAGTGAAAGAAAAGAACATTTAAACCAGAGAGCCCTCTCGGCCCCTCCCCCCACCCTAAAGGCCCGGCCGGGTTGGACGCGCAGACACGGGGCGGGACCCCCAACCACACACCACTCCTTCGGGTCCCTCAAAGGGAGAACAAGAAACAGAGAGGCGAGAAAGGGCAAAGAGGGAAGGAGACACACACAAACCCACACCAGCATAAACACTACACAAGGACACAAAAGCAACAGCACACCCCAAACCACAAGACGAAACAACTGCTCACGACCAACACCGAAACCCACAACTATAACAAGGGCAACCAAGGAAAGGCACAGACCAGTAAAGGTGAAGGTATCAGACCTGAATCACACCCACTGAAGAAACCTATCACAGACCCCCAACACACCTGGACCAGCCCCTTCCACCCTCCCACTTCACCGCTCACTCTCCAACAACCCTGAAAAAGACCACCCCGAAACAAATAAGACAACATATAAGAACTCAGAAACATCGACACACAACAAACAAATCAGGAGAGCACCTTAGTCTCTAGGAATGCCCAACTACCCCTTAGTAGGGACAAACAATTAGAGGAACCACCAGACAATATGCAAACACGCTTGCACACAGTCCAGAGGCAATACACGCGACCAAAGACCTTACCTGCAACGACAAAACCTGACCGCCTGAAGACCCCAAAACCAAGTACACACACGAGTACCACAGCAACGGTCAGCTTAGATAGACACCAGACTAAGGCTACTCCAGAAAGCAACTTAAATAAGACGAGGTCAATCTGGGACAATGTGTTTGCAATATGTTACCCCTCCCTACCCCTTCCCCTTTTTTTTTCTGTACCCACAACCCATACCATGCCAAAATTGAAGACTTAACAAACAAAGAATTTATTTAAAAAAAAAAAAAGATCAGAGGTATCCCAGAAGCGAGCCCAGCCGCAGAACTCCCTCACTTATTGAGGAAGCAGCTACTGGCTGCTCACTGTTTACTAGACACGACCCTACTCGCGGTATAGTGAGTAGGGGCTGAATTTACTAATACTAAGTAATCTTTACTTAGTATTAGTAAATGTGGCTGAAAGACCAATTTAGGTTACCAATTTAGGTCTTTCAGCCTTTTGGTAGATAGCTCCCTAATACCGTGCTTATGTTATGTTATTTTTAAGTGATTTCCCTATCCACATTTATTTGCAGGGCACTTGTCCTACTCTTACCCCCATTTTACTTCCTTTTGCAGCCCTCTAGCCCTTTCCAAGAGTTTTTTAGAGCCATTTTTGTGCCCAAAAGTTCATGTCCCCATTGACTTCAATAGGGTTCAGGTTCGGGGTCAAGTTCGAGCCCTAACCCAGACTTTTTTTTTCAAAGTTCGGCCGAACCCGCCGGACCCGAACATCCAGGTGTCCGCTCAACTCTATATGTTTTGTCTCTCCACTGTCTATCCCTCCTGTTACTATAAACTAAACAATTGTACTGTCTATTTACATGCCATGTCATACATATAATGCCTGTTATCACTCTGCCTGCGGCTGCTGTTGTGGCTGAGCAAGCCTACTGTTATTCCATGCACAACAAAAATAAAGATTCATAAAGAATAAAAAATGTATGTCAGATTGAATGTGTCTGACTTCCAGGCTATTACATATGATAAATGCCCTCAATAATACCCCCCCCCCCACCACCACCCCACTGATTACTCACCCTAGTGGTGTACATACCGGGGTCGCAGGGGTCATGGCTCCGACCGGGCCCGGCCGCCTTGTGACCCGGTATGCACGCCAGTGGCAGTGTGGCCACATTTTGCCAGCCAGTGTGTGTGTCGGTGTGGGTGTTTCTGAGTGTCTGTGTGTATGGGATAGTGTGGGTATTTGTGTGTGTATGTGCCAGTGCATGTATCTGTGTTTCAAGTTGTGTATATGTCAGTGTGTGTGTCAGTGTGCATCAGGGTGTCTATCTGTGTGTTAAGGTGTGTGCATGTGTCTGTGTGTTAATAGTGTGTGTTACTAGTATGTGTAAATAGTTATAATATGTTGTGTGTGACTGTGTGTGGGGACCCCACGTGGGGCAGGAGAGGGGGGGCAGTGGGGGCACGCATGGGGTTGGCGTGTGCAGCCACCACCTTGAAATAAGTTTTTGCATGTTGCGATGTCTGTGTATCTCTCACACTATCTCCTTCCCATTCACTCAACCAGTGCCTCTCTTATATACACTCTAGCAGGGTTACTTACTATAAGTGAGGATTCAAAGTGTGTTTCACATTTAACCCTTTCCCAACTGCGGACATATGAGTACGATGAAAATCGGTCCTTAAGGACCACAGACGTACCTCATACGTCCACGGTAAATTTGAGCGCTGGAATCGCTCCCAGCCACTCTAAGAGTATTGCACGAGGCCTCGTTATCGAGGCATTGTGAAATACCTCCCCCAACACTGCCAGGCACCCAAGTGATCACTCCCCCCGGAGTGATCACTTCCGGGTTGCCGCACGTGGCGCCCGACAGTGTGGAGCAGAGCATCGGAAGCCTCCCCATGTACTTACCTATCGCTGCCATCCCGCAAGGGAATCGATCTTCCTCTGAGTGGAACTGTCCCCCCTCTCCAATTTAGGAGCCCCAGGGGCCATGTGACCGCTCTAAAAGAGCAGTTACATGGCCACAAAAGGTGTCCACCGTCCTGCCAGCAGGGGTAAAACTACACGTGTGTGTGTGTGTGTGTGTGTGTGTGTGTATATATATATAATATAAAAATAATCAAAATCCTTGCACTCAAGCTGAATATTCTTAATAGAAAAATAACTTTTACTTGCCGGGTGCCAGTCCTACGGGGATGTTGATATTCACGTAAGAAAAGCATGGGCTGCACTCACGGTCTTCCAATAAAAAAGCTCTTTATTTCAACAAATCAGCAAATCGACGTTTCGGTCCGCACAGGGACCTTCTTCAGGACAAAGTTTTCTTATGTAGATATATATATATATATATATATATATATATATATATATATATATATATATATCGATGTATATCCCCTTTACACCCATGGATATACTAGGTACGTCCGACAAAAACGGTCGTTAAGGACCGCGGACTTACCCAGTACGTCTTACCCAGTACTTACCTTGCCTGGCGATCATGGTCGGAGGGCCCTATAGTGTTAGGAATACAGTTTTGTATTCCTAACACTATAGAATCTCTTTAAGCATAACACGGCATATATGTAACACAATTAAATATTAAGAGTAATTGCAGAGATGTTAACGAATGTGATCTTAAGGGCACTTGGTGCTATGTCTAACCATATTCTAGTAAAATAATTTTTTTATTGAAGAATTTTTAAAATTTAGACAAGAAGTAAATTTAAATAAAAAGAAAGAACATAAAAAATATTTAAACCGGTGAAAAACATAATTTCACATGTTTAAAATCTAAATGTAGTTGTACAAAAAAACAAGTAACAGTATGGTGCTAAAAATATTATACTACAAATAGATACAAATGGCTAGAAAAAAGCAGCACGATATATTGTGAAAAGCTCCAATCACATACATCAACATAAACCAGAAAATAAAGTGTGCTGTGTCTTTAAGACAATAAATAAATACCTTATAATAAAAGTGGAATTTTCATAAAACAATATGTGCAATAATGCGTTATACCCAAAGTGCCAATGTGTGCCAGTGCAAAAAACACACTATGTGTATACAGGGCTGGAGCGCTGACCCCTCAAATGCTGCAGCCGCCTAAGCGCTCTATAGAGAGTCTCAGGCGGCTGCAGCACTGCCCGGACTGGCGTGTCCATGAGGGCACACCGGCCCGGGCACGCATGAAAGAGGGATAAGTGCTCCCTCCTGTCAGTCACTCAGTGTAGCGTGGTCAAGCTCCGCTCCGGTCCGCGGTACAGGAACATCCATTTCTATATTAAGACCATGTCGCGCTAGAGTTTTCAATTTGTGGACCCACTTCACTTTGGGTATAACATATTATTGCACTAATTGTTTTATGTAAATTACACTTTCATTGTAAGGTATTTATTTATTGTCTTTAAGACATAGTGCACTTTATTTTCTAGTTTATAACAATGTAGTTGGGTTAAACAATAAACCAACATAAAGACGGTGTGACAATATATCAATACAAGTATGTAAGTGACGATAATAAAAAAATATTACCATTATATCACATTTCAACATAACTGACTGTTCAGTTTGACCTCTAATTAAAATGTTGCACTGTTTCTAATTTAGTGACCCACGCCACGCCCACTTAAAAAAGCAAGGATTGCGGAAAGTGTTGAGAAAAAGGCATTAGCAAGCCTAATGTGAATTTATTAAAAAGTGGTATAACAGCGTTAATTTTCACCCATTTAAAGGACCACTATAGTGCCAGGAAAACATACTTGTTTTCCTGGCACTATAGTGCCCTGAGGGTGCTCTCCGCCTCCTCTCCTCCCTTTCGGCTGAATGCGCACGCGCGGCAAGAGCTGCGCGCGCATTCAGCCGGTTTCATAGGAATTCGTAATGCTTTCCTATGGACGCTTGCGTGTTCTCACTGTGATTTTCACAGTGAGAATCACGCAAGCTCCTCTAGCGGCTGTCAATGAGACAGCCACTAGAGGATTTAGAGGATTAAGCTGAAGTGGTCTGGATGCCTAGAGTGGTCCTTTAAGTCTGTGATCCATTTGGGGAACTGCCTTCTCCAGGTGCATAAGTCAAGTTGAACTTCCCTTGTTTGGATCTTGTCCTTTTGCAAAATATACCTAATCCTACTCCTGTATACAGTGAGCTATCTGAATATATGTGTTGTTGGGGGTTTTTTTTGGGGGGGGGGGGTTTGGTGAATTTCTTTTTATTAAGAAAATTGTCAGTTTTAAAACATGTACACGAAAATGTTTGGATGCACAGGTCCCCAATGCTTTAAAATGTAAGTGCAATAAGTTAAGATAAGCAGATCTTTAAAGAAAATAAAATCACAGGGGACACGCAGGCCCCAAAAACTAACAAAACAAATCAGAAACCAACACAAAAAACAGATGAGGCTGCTTATAGATTCACAACCACTACAATGAGCTGCAGTGACTATGGTCTAGGAATAGTCACGGTTAATGTAAAAAAAACTTACAAATATAAATTACATGGGGGAAAAGGAGTGCACAGACCCAAGTGTTGGTACTTGAGAACAGTCAGCTAAGAGTAATGCAGACAATTTGTCATGAAGTAATGTAGGTTATGCAAGAGGAGTGAGAGAGAGGTAAGTATATGATCCAGCTGAGTCAAACCTTAAACCCAATTCAAGGAGGTCAACCCAGGAGTTGACGTAGTGATGAACATTTAGGAGGTGGGACTAATAATCCAGAGCTCAGAAGGTTGCACAAGGCTCAGCTTTGATGGCACAATGCAGAAACTGTATGGAGGTAAATGGAGAACCCAACACCAGACTCATTAACCCCTTAAGGACCAAACTTCTGGAATAAAAGGGAATCATGACATGTCACACATGTCATGTGTCCTTAAGGGTTTAAACAAGCTCCAGAGGATTAGAGAAGACTGTTTAGATAGGTAGTTAGTTAGAGGAACAGTAACATACACATAGAATCATTAGTGGACCTGACACTCAGCCAGATTAAGGAGGATACCTGTAACTGCCTGGGCACACACTATGATAATTTCAGAGCAGCAGATCACAAAACAAAAAAAAATATCAGGAAGCTTGGACCTTTAGTTACACATGTGTTCATCAAGTTCAGCTTTCCTCACGTCTGTTTTTTGCTGTTGAGCCAAAAGTACTTTTTTTGCAACAAACTAGGAAAAATAATTATTCCTTCTTGACCCCAGAATGGCAGTCAGATTTATCCTTGGATCAAGAAACTATTACCTTACAGTTGAAAAATTATATAATTGAATATTATGTTTTTGCAAGTACAGGTACTCCTCGCTTACAGACCTGGTTCCGTTCTTACGACACAGTCGTAGAACGAATTGGTCGGTAAGTGAGGAGTTGAGGGATTCCCTCGTCTGGTGTGCTTGTTTATGTTCGGGGAAATTTTCCCGAACATAGACGAACACACAAGAGTAGGGAATCCCACTAATCTATGTTCGCGGAAATTTCCCCCAAACATACACGAAAGCAGCAGTGAATACCTTAAATCTATGTTTGGAGAAATTTCCCCGAACATAAATTAGAGACATTCTCTGCTCTGGTATGTTTGTCTATGTTCGGGGAAAGCTCCTCAAACATAGACAAACGCAGTAGAGCAGGGAATCCCTCTAATACCCACAACAGCTTGCACTTACCCTCACTCTAGAGAGCTGGTCATAAGTGTGAGCCATTGTAAAACAGGTTGATCATAAAATGAGGACCACCTGTATGCATCTAGTTGTTGTTTAAACATCTGTACAGACTCTGATAAAACCACTTCTTCAGGCAGAGAATTCCACATCCTTATTGTTCTTACAGTAAAAAAACAAAAACAAAACATGACTTTGCCTTAGACTAAATCTTATTTCTTCCAGTCTAAACACATGACATTGTGTCCTATGTATAGTCCTCTTCGTGAATAGATTTCCACACAAAGGTTTGTATATATTTGTATAATGTTATCATATCCCCTCTGAGGCGACTTTTTTCTAAACTACAGAAGTTTAAATCTATTAACCTTTCTTCATAGCTAGAATGTTCCATTCCTTTTGCACTATTTGGGCTGGAGCTTCAGAATGGTTGTAAATATCACAATAATATCGATGCCCTATGTTGATTATTCTACCTATTTTGTAGGCAGTTTGGCTGGAACATTATATAAAGATATAATTTTTAAACTACAAAACTGGGCTAGTCAAGTCTGTCATGACAATGTCTCTTTAAAAATTAGGGATTCTTCTGATAATTTAATAAAGATAGCAATGTATTGAAGCCCAATAACTTCAAAACAGATTTAGTCATTAATCAAAACAGAATCAGAAATTAGTTACATGTTTTCATTTTAAAATCATACCTTGGTCTTTTTATCCTGAAAACAATACCCTGTAAAGAAAAAATACATGTTGTACAAGGACAATAACTGAGCATAAAAAACTAACAAACCATTAAAGATAGTCATTATTAAATATTAACCTCTTCAACCCAATAACATGTATATATAGGGGTACAACACATATTATGCATGATGTGCACCATTTTATTATTTCCAACAAAATAACGTTTGTGTAAATATGCTTATTTGGTATTGCTAATCCAGCGTATGAACCTTAAGGCATTATCCGTCAAGAAAATAAAAGTGGTGTTGACACCAACGACCTCTGGTGTTGACAACAATGTGCTTATCAATGGTTCCATCTGGAGGTACAGACAATCTATGGTTAGGTGAAAAAGAACCTCTATCAGGCTTTTTGAACCATTACATTGCTGTCCTGCACATCCAAATAGATTAACCCCTTAAGGACCAAACTTCTGGAATAAAAGGGAATCATGACATGTCACACATGTCATGTATCCTTAAGGGGTTAAAGGACCACTATAGTCACCCAGACCACTTCAGCTCAATGAAGTGGTATGGGTGCCAGGTCCCCCAGGTTTTAACCCTTCAGATGTAAACATATCAAATTCAGAGAAACTGCTATGTTTATATTGCAGGGTTAATCGAGGCTCAAGTGGCTGTCTTCCTGACAGCTGCTAGAGGCGCATTCCTATGGGTGTTTTTAATGCGCTCGCGGCTCTGGCCGCGCATGCACATTCCGCTGCACTCGGGAACTGACATCGGAGTGGGAGGAGAGGTCACCAGCGCCAAGGGAGCTCAGCACTGGATTAAATTAAGAAACTGAAGGGATTAAAACCCCTTCAGCCCAGCGGGGTGGGGGGGGACCTAAGGGTTATATAGTGTCAGGAAAACACTATAGCAGGGATAGGCAACCATCGGCACTCCAGATGTTTTGGACTACATCCCTCATAATGCTCTTACACCTATAATGCTAGCAAACATCATGGGAGGTGTAGTCCAAAACATCTGGAGTGCCGAAGGTTGCCTATGCCTGCACTATAGTGATCCTTTAAAGAACATATACATTTGTACCAACATTACATGTTTTACTTTTCTATTTGGATTTATCTAGAAAACCTTAACACACCTGGTTGGAGAGTTCTGTGTGCAGGACATTCTCTTCCTATTAATACAATGAGGCCAGTCAACTCTGCTGCAGCTTGGTAGCATATGAGTTCTGCTACCTTATAACCCCACTACCACCCTACTCCATTATTTTTTTGTTAAGTTTACAAGTCATGTCTATCTGTATTTTGTTAAAATATATTTGCATGTTAGATTTTAGGCTTAAAGGCAGGGAATTCCTTTTCGTTTGCAGTGTGTCTAAGTATGTGTTGTCTTTAATCCCTCGTATCTCAAAGGGACAATCCGTTGCCTAAATAAAAAAATTTTTTACAAAATGATTAAATAAATAAAAATCAATGTGTTGTAGATACACTGCAATGAAAACATGCATGTATTCAAGATCTGGGATAGTCCTGTGATGAGGTCGAAACGTATAGATGCAGTGGCTTTTTCCTTTCTGTCATCTATATTGATTGTCTGGCGTGCTGATATCCATCAAGTATATCTACAGTTTACTGCCTGTGTGACAACCTTCATTAAGATCCTATGTGTTCTACCATTCATCAACAAGTCAAGCAGTTTTGTATCACCACATTTTGATCTTAAAGCTGCTGTTTCTATTTTTGAATCATCTGGATCTTCACCTCGTTTTTTGGGGGGCCCGACCGAGGTCAGGTACTTTTACATCTGTTATATCAGCGGTTACCTTTTGAACTCTTGGATTTTTTATATTTTGTTGCATGTTTTTATTATATTTATTTATACTTTTCAATACAAATATTATTCTTGTTTTTGTATATTTATTTGATCATTTTTATCTTGGAGAGAGAGTATTTATCGAGTATCTTACATTTCCTACAGTTTTTTTTTTTTACAATTTACATGCAACCACAATTACCTACCACTCCTGCGGACGGCGCAGACCGAACTCCAAACATGGAGCACAACCTACATCTCTTGGCTGGGACGCATAAACGCAGTGAAAATGTCCTTACTTCCCAAGTTCCTCTTCATCTTCCAAACAGTACCCATAGAGGCACCGAAGTCATTCTTTACCACCATCCAAACCATGATCCGTAACTTCATCTGGAAAGGGAAATCTCCACGAATTGCCCACGCCCAACTGACTCTCCCCAAGCTCAAAGGGGGCCTGGCCCTCCCGGACTTTCGGAAATCTCACCTAGCGACACACCTCACCCGAATAATCAACTGGTCGGTACAGACCAAGGACAAACCATGGGTGCAACTCGAGGCAGACAGCACCAAATGTGACCTCACGACCCTCCCCTGGATCACGAAAGAAGCCAGCAAACAACTACAACACGCCAACCCATTCGTGAAGGCCACCTTACCTATCTGGCACCAAAATGGGCCCAAACACTACCTTACGACTAATCCCGGCCCACTACTCCCCTTAAGAGGCAACCCGGACTTCCCGGCGGGAGACATGGGCCCAATCCCACACCCAGCAAACGGCAACACGACGCTCAGAATGATGGACATCATCACCCCCCCATTCATACTCAGACCGATCGAGACCATCTTCCCAGACCAGAGGCACACCCTCGCACACACGCTGGCGAGGGAACAAATGTCCCACTATGCACACTCCATCCCCCAACGCCCCTACCTGATGAGAGACTGCACGGAATTCGAAACCCTGTGCAGGCAGAATGAAACCCCACCGAGATCAATATCGCGGATTTACAATTCCCTAGCGACGAACCGATACCTTTTAGCCCCCCCATGCATCAGGCGATGGGAAGAAGACCTTGAAGAAGAACTTAGACGCGGACTGGGACAAAATCATCCTGCACGTTTAAAAAACCCCAGGCTCAGCCAGACTCCAGGAAAACTCATACAAAATCCTCACTAGATGGTATATCACCCCTGCCACCCTCCACACTCGCAACGATTCAGTGCCGGCCACGTGCTGGCGATGCAGAGAAGAGGACGGGACTTTCCTCCACATCTGGTGGAACTGTACACTCATCCGACCATTCTGGGAAAAGATACGCCAAGTCATCCACGCGGTGACCGACGACACTCCGCCCATGTCAACAGGCTTCTTCCTCCTACACCACACAACCACGCCCACCCTGACTTATAAGAAATCGGTGGTACCACGATTACTCAATGCGGCGAAAGCAACGGTCCATATACTCTGGAAACAGCCACGTACCCCCCCACTCAGACGCTGGGTGGAGGAGGTGGAGGACACAAGAAAATTCGAGGACCTGAAAGCCACAACGGTTGCGGCAAAAGAAAAGCTTATGACCAGATGGTTCTACTGGATACGACACATCGCTACAGATGAGTTCTTACAATGCCTGAACTCACCCTAAACTTAGGACACGCCACCACAAGACAATCGGGCGCCTGCACCTGGGGCGGCCCCTAGGCGGGTCACCATCACCCCCCCCCCCCCGGTACATGCCAACACATACAACCCACTCACGGACTGGAGGCAACATGGATCACACAACGTACTAACAGCTCTATAAACCGACCGGTGCATCCATCATACAACATTACATGAGAGCGGCACATGAAAACCCAGGCCTCACGTCCGGGGGCTCCCATTTAAGTTTTGGCATTACGACCTCACGTAGGACAGGAACACCCACGTAGGGAACCACATGCACGCACTAGCTTTCGCGAGAAGATGATTCCTGTTTGCCCACTAGCTATACACAGGCCATGACTCTGCTCAGCTTGCCACAACAGACGGACCAACCCCCACGCATACTCCACTAACCTATACCATTAC